TAAAAAAAATTCGTTTTAGTGGTGGGCCCTAGGAAACGTTCTCACTAGGGAACCTGCTCTATACCATGTGAAATAATGAGGAATGAATGAACCAGGAAAGTGTGTGATTCAAATATGAAACCCTAGAAACCTGTACCCCTTAATGTCTACCCCACTAGAGCCTACAAACACTATGTCATATATATCTGACAGTGTATTCTCCTCCTCCGTCTGACTGGAAGCTCTTTAGCTTCACGCCTGATTCTCGTTCTGCTACTGGGAGCCAGGCGACGAAAGCCTCGAAAGCTATGTCTTTGCTCGGAAGATTGAGGTGCCAAACGTAGCGTGTGGTGGCATCGATGAAGATGATGGTGTAGCTGTATGCTCCTTGTCCAGGTTCGCGATTGTACAGGATGTCGCTGTACACTTTCTCGAGTGGTGCGTAAGCTGGTGCGCTCGGGTTGTGGTGAGAAACGAACGGCCGATGTGGTAAGTCGTCTTCGGGGCAGGTAAAGCACGTTCCCCGAGCTCGTCGAAGTTCGCTTCCGTCGGTTAGGAGCAATGAGTCTTTGTCGAGCATGCCTGCTCTGATTGTGCTATTTAACACAGTGTTGCTTAGATGTCCCATTCGTGCGTGCCAGATATCTTCGCCAGCTCGATGTCCGGGTGAGCGACGATACAAGTCGGAGTTGGAGTAGAAGCTTGCGGTGAGGTTTGCGCTTCGATGTACTTCTCGTGGTGTTGGATTCAGTTGCTGCGCAAGAGTCGGTGGAGTGTCGCCGTCGATTGGGGCTGGTGCAATTGAAGGACCCGCGATTGGTGCCGATGATGTCTCTGCTGCTGCCGATGTTGTCTCTACTGCTGCCGATGTTGTCTCTGCTGCTGCCGATGTTGTCTCTGCTGCTGCCGATGTTGTCTCTGCTGCAGCCGATGTTGTCTCTGCTGCTGCCGATGATTGAATTGTTGCTAATGCTCTTGTTCATTCTGCCTCAGGGATGTTGTGCGAATACCAGAAACCTTCGGGGCTGAAGTCAGGATCGAGATCCGGTGGGTGCGTCCAGGAGGTGAAGGTGACGATTCCGTCGCTGTCGGCGGTGCCTAGATCTGGAATGAAGTCGAGGATGAACACGTTGTTCTTCAGCACGGCCTTGCCGATGTAGAGGCCTCCTCTCCCGTGGTACAGCTTGAACTCCTGTGTTGTGCTGTCTCCTTCAAGGTGGATACCTTTCGCCATCAGCTGACTGACACTTAGTAAGTTGTAGCCGAGTCCCTCCGCAATCAAAACCTTTGACATTTGCAGTATGACGTTTGTCTCTCGTGACTGAAGTTGCACTACGCCTTGTCGTCGTATGCGCAGGTTTTGATTGTTGGCGACGGTGATGACAACGTCGCGTTGAAGTTGATATTCTCGTTGAACGAAACGACCCGAAGAGCACATATGCTGTCCGCAACAACTGTCCAAGAACCAAGTGTCTTTCCTGGACGGCTCGCTTTGAGCGATGGCTGCATACGTCGGGTTCGGTTGAAGTGACTCGCGACGAGGGGTACTGTTGTCGAGTTGCTCTTCCAGTGAGTGTGGTGGTGACTCGGTGATGCAGGAGTCAGTCAATTTTGCCATGCAGCTGACGATGTTTCTTGCTCCTTGTGCAGAATGTGTTGACGATGTCGTTGAGGGCTGTGTCAGAATCAGCAGTAGAAAGTGAGAATGAAGAAAGGAGGAGGTTCACTAGCAAGCAGTTGGATACATATAGCAAACCCTAATTGGGCTGTACTCACTATAGAGTACCCCACTGCAGGCTAGACAATTATAACATTCTGACACACCCCCATAGCCAAAGTGGGGTGTAATAAGCACAACAAGCAAGCATAGTAATAGTTCACAATTATAAGCAAAGCGAGTGGTAGTCACAGCGGGCAAGTGAGGAGGAGGAGGGACTGTGAGAGGAGAGAAGATGAGAGACGGCGGCTGAAGCTGCAGACACACGGGCAACAGGAGCTGCTGGCACAGTGGCTACCGGGACAGTGCGCCCCGGACTACTGGAGTAACTGGCTCACGGGCTACGAGGAGCTACAGGAGCAACGGACCCTCGGGCGACAGGCGCAGCAGGCTCTCTGGGCTACCAGGACAGTGCGCCCCGGACTACAGGTGCTGCGGACGACAAGACAGCAGCCTCCGCTCAACCTCCTCCAACTGTCCCACACACCCCCCACACACCCACTGCTTCACTCCTAACTCCACTTGCACGTCACCCCCCTAGTACCACTCCTTCGGCTCCCACACACCCACCCCCCTCAGCGGCAGCTGCAGCACTGGGAGACGGAGGAGGAGGAGGAGCAGGGGACGACGCACAGAAACTGCACCCCCATACCCCCCACCCCCAAACCCTAATTCAGGAGAACGGGCAGCAGCAGGGGTGGGGCGCCGTCAGAAGCACGGGGGACAGCGGGCAGCGCAGGGGCAGAGAAAACAGGGCGCCCACGGGCTTGGCGCAGCCCGTACGAACCGCGTGCGGGCGGCCCGAGGCGCGCCCTGGCCTGGCGCAGTCCGTACGGGCCGCGCGCGGGCCTGGCGCTGCCCGTACGGGCCGCGCGCGGGCCTGGCGCAGCCCGTACGGGCCGCGCGCGGGCCTGGCGCAGCCCGTACGGGCCGCGCGCGGGCCCTACGCAGGTCGCGCAGGCCGCGACGGGCGACGGGGGGCGACGCGCGGGTCCCCGTCGCCCGTCGCAGCGCCTCCCGGGAGCGACGCACGGAGTGACGGGGCAGAAAGCCGCCGCGCGCCTCGGGGCGCACGGCGGGCAGAAAACCGCCGCGCGCCTCGGGGCGCACGGCGGGCAGAAAACCGCCGCACGCTCCGAGCGCGCGGCGGGATGAAAAATCCGTCGCACGCCACGGGGCGTGCAACACACAGAGTAGCAGTTGCAGCGGAAGCAGTGAGGTGGTGGGCCCACCCACAGGATCGACCCAAGGGGATCGACCTGCTCTGATAGCATGTCAGAATCAGCAGTAGAAAGTGAGAATGAAGAAAGGAGGAGGTTCACTAGCAAGCAGTTGGATACATATATTAGCAAACCCTAATTGGGCTGTATTCACTATAGAGTACCCCACTGCAGGCTAGACAATTATAACATTCTGACAGGCTGCAGTTGACTCGTGGGGTGCGCTTGTGTGGACGCCACTTGACTGCTTGAAGGACGAATTTGGCGTTGCGACGGCGTTGACGGCTGTCAATTCGGGCAGTGTGTGCGAGGGTGCCCAGAAGTCTTGCAGAGATGACAAAACGGAGGTACGGGTTTTGGTTGATGTCGGTTGTTGTTGTTGTTGTTGTAGCGTCGTTGAGTGTGAAACGCAAATTCGGGTACTGACGTTTTCTTCTTGTGCCGCTCCTCTTGCAGGTCCATGTCTTGCTGCTCAGCGTGGATTTCAGCGCAGAGTGCTGCTTCGGAGATCTTCCCGGAGCTCGGAGTATGGCGCGAGTGGAGCGCCAATTAGGACCAAGACCGCCAATGATGACTGTGACGAAGGCGTCTTCCGATATCGACCCTCCGCATCGAAGGAGTTTGTCGCGCAGTTCGCGATAGCGGCTGATATACGCCATCCCCTTTTCGCCCGGTTTCATTACCACTGTTGTCAGTTGTGCCATTAACCGACTCTGGTTAACGCTGTCTGTTGCCTGATACAGGTTCTTCAAGTGGTTGTACGCGAGCTCGGCGGAGTTCCCGTATCCCCGGTAAGACCGAATGTTCTGCTGCTGGCTCGGTGTGACGTTGCGTAGTAGGATTGTGCACGCCATCATGGACTGATATGTGTACTGCTGCTTGTCGTATTGCGTCCCGTGCGTTGGATATGGCAGAGACCCGTCGAAGAAGCCAAGAATCTACGCGCCTTCCATCATCAGCTCGAATTCGAACGACCAGGTAAAGAAGTCTTTTCCGCCGAACGGTCTTGATGTCTGCAGTTTTAAGACGTGCGCAAACTGCGACTGAACTTGAAGAGCATCCAATGTCTTTTCTTGCTCAGGTGAAGGCTGCTGGCGCGGCATGAAGCTGACGGAACCGCGCTGAGGTTCGTACGGGGCAAAGGTAGGTTATTGTTGCTGATTTCCTCGCGCGTAGGATGAACCGTCGAGGCTCATCGGTGTCACGTTGTTGTTGTTGCTATTGTTTGACTGCGCATGTGCCCCTTGCTGGTGTTGTTCGTAGAAGGACATGAAGGAGAAGAACTTCTCCATCATGTCTGGGTCAAAGCCCGCGGCTTGATTTGCGGGAGTTTCGGTAGACCCAGCTGCTGGTCTTGTTGCTGTGCCCTCCTCCGTCTGCAGGCCAGAGGCAGGAGGTGGAGTAGGAGTAGTACCGGGAGAGCCGTTAGAGGAACTTCTCTCCTTCTGCGTTGCCATGCCTTCTGATGTTGTAGGTGTCTTGATAGTAGTTGAGTTTGCCCTGATAGCTCTTATACCATGTTGAGCTGAGAAAAGCCCTGAGGATCTTTGCAGGACTAAACTCTGAGTACGAACAATGTAATAGCAGAAGCGTTTAATGATAAGTCTGTGAACCACCTTGTGCTGGTGTGTGAGGGCAAAGTAGATTGATTAAATCAATGAGATACAAGCTTTTATAAGAGTACAAGGGAATATGAAAGGTTATAGCTAATAACTGTTTTGCTGTTACTGTCGCGGTTCGATACAGTGACGACTCGGGCAACTGCTCAATAACGAGTCAGTTGTTTGTGTTAGAATAATATATAATTCTATATATTGTTCTATAATTGCCTGTAGTGTAGAATACTGTAGTCATATAACTTTCTGTTTGGTGGTGCACCTTTCTTCATTCTTGTCTATTTGTACTGCTCGCTCTATAGTGAACACCCTCTTTTGTTGGCCAACACCTCTCCTACTCCCCCTCCCAAGTTCCTAAGCTACTCACTAAGTTATGGAGGTTCCTAAGGCATAGCACTATATTCTAATATGGTGTCAGAGCTGTAAGCTCCTGGACCTACGTTTAAATAGGCCCACCCTTTCTTAGCAATGGCGCCCCTGCTAGCGCACGAGCGCCTTCATTGGCGCGCGAGTACTGCAGAAGCTGCGCGATCATTTCTGCCAGCTCACGGTGTGGCAGCGCCTACGCTCGTCGCTCGCCCCATCGCCCTGCCGCTACAGTCACCACGGCGCCCTGCGTCCCGTCGCCGCGACGCCCTGCGTCCCGTCGCCGGCAGCGCCCCGCGTCCCGTCGCCGCGGCGCCCCGCGTCCCGTCGCCGCGGCGCCCCGCCTCCAGTCGCCGTGGTGCCCCGCGTCCCGTTGCCGCGGCGCTCCACTTCCCGTCGCCTCGGCGCCCTGTATCCCGCCGCCGCGGCGCCCTGTATCCCGCCGCCGCGTTTGCCGCTGTGGGAGGAGGTGGCGGGGTGGGGGGAGGGGAGGCGCGAGGGTGGTTGACGCCACTCTGTTCGCTGCTGCACCACACCGCTACGCCGCCACACGACGTCCCTTCTCTCTCCTTGCTACGCGTGCAGCAGTTGTTAATATTAGGTTCGCAGCAGCCATGGCTAGTGAGTGAAGTAACGAGGGAAGAAAAGTTGAACTAGAGAAAGAGTCGAGAGACATTTGAAAGATAGGGTTGGGAAACCCCAACTGAACCTAGGGCGTGTTCAATGCAGAGACAAACTGCAAAGTGAACATGAGATGAACCAGAATTGAAACTAGGTCTAAAAGTGGCCGAAAAATAATATAAGGCCAAAAAGAAATGCAGAGCGAACACTAGCCTACTCCAACAGCAGTGGGGGGGGGGAGGGTTTGGGGTGGCGGGTGTGAGCAAGAAGCTGCCGCCCCTCCTCTCTCTCTCACTGCCGCACGTGCCGCTGTGGGGGGGAGAGTGAGGGGGCGACGGAAGTCAGCCGGTCATCTGCTGCTGTTGCCCGCTACTGACGTGGCACCTCCAGCTGCCGCCCCTGCCGCCACCTGCCTTTGCTGCCTTTGCTTTTGTTACCTGCTGCTAGGGCCTGCAGGTGCTGCCGTCGAGCCGCTGCTGTCCTGCTGCACGTTGCAGCCACAAAGCCTGCTCCTCAGGCGACCTGCCGCCCCTACACCTCTTATGAACTAGGCATGAATGAGTTGCACTATTGAGAGGTTTTGGTACAAGGAAGAAACCTAAGGGGTTGTACCCCACAATATCTACCCCACTACAGGCTACCCAAAAACTATAACACATACATATGTTTGACACACCCCCATAGGCAAAGTGGGGGAGAGCAAGAGGTCACAAGACCAGTCAAGGGAAGCAAAACAAGCTAAGGGTGGATCACAACGTCACCACACACACTGGGCACAAGCAAACGGCCACAAGGCCAGTTAACATGCAGAGGTATATATGCAACAAGAACAGTACAGTGATCTCTACCTAGCAAGAGCAAGCATACAGGTATATATATATAGATCACAATACAAGCAGAGACTACAGCAAGTGTGGAAACGTAGGCACAAGGCCCAACAAGGTACAAAAACGCTGATGGTCACCAGACGGAAGTGCCTTGGTGAATATATCAGTAGTGTTGGCCCGAGTGGCCACGTCAGCAAGGCGAAGCTGACCACGCTGTCACAATAGATTTATATATATTTAGTATAATCTGCCTGTAGTGTAGCTGTTGTGTAATTCCCTTGTATGGTGGTGCACTTCTTTCATCTTTGTTAGGTTGCTACATGTACTATAGTGAACCTCCAACCATTTTCAATTCTCCTTGGCACAAACTACTCGACTCCCGTTTGGCCTAGGCTACCAAGCCTAGGCCCTTAGTTAAACCCGTACTCTAGTTAAGATCGTATCGTAACATGGTATCGAGCTACTAAGATCCTACTCCTAGGTGAATGGGCCCACCACCAGCTGTCGATATGACGCGCCCCGTCGATCAGGTCGTTGCGCAGCCCGTTACGTTCATCGCTGGCCCGTCGCTCGCCCGTCGCCCCACCGGCTCGAGGTCCCGCTGCTGCTGCGCTAGCGACGACGAGCTGCGCGAGGGCGCTCGACGCGCCCCACCGTTACGGCCCCCCCAGTTCACCTGCGGACCCGCGAGCAAGAGAGACAGCGGATCCGCGGACCCGCCTTCAGCGAGCGAGCCAGCGGACCCGCGAACCCGCCTTCAGCGAGCCCGTCGACGGACCCGCCGACGGGCTCGTCACAGGGCCCGCCGACGGGCTCGTCACAGGGCCCGCCGACGGACCCGCCGTCGGACCCGCCAACAAGAGCGCCAGCAAGCCCGCCTGCGACCCGCCACCCACACCCGCGCGACCCGTTCCTGCCCCGCTTGCATCTGCTGCGCCAGCTACTGCCGTTTCGTCCCGTTCTCGCCGCCCCACCCGGAACCCGATGCCCCACCTGTACCCGGCCGCCTGCCCGTCTCCCCCCCCCCGTCGCAACTGTTCGCGTGTGCAGCGGCGGTCGCTGTAGGTGGGAGAGGGAGGACGGGAAGGGATTGGCGGCCCAACCGACGCGCCAGCCAGCTCGCACCCCGCCCATCTCCCGTACGCCACCCGCATGTGCACGACCCGTCCCTGCCCCGCCTGCATCTGCCGCGTCAGCAACTGCCGTTTCGTCCCGTACCCGCACTGTCCCTGCCCCTCCCCATCCCTCCCTCGTCGCGCCTTCCCCCTCTACCGCGCCTGCCTATGCCGTGTTGGGCGGTGGTGGGTTTGGAGGACAGTGGGGGCGGCGGCGGCGGGAATGGCGGGAGTTGCGGGAGTGGCGGGGTTGGCGGCTCATGTGGGGGGGTGGGGGAGGCGTGGGGGAAAGGGGTGGTGGGCGGCTGTCAGCAGTGAACGCCAGCGCAAGCGCCAGAACTGCCGCCAACGCCTACCGCCCGTCCGTCTTCCCTTCCCCCCCTCCCCGTCGCCTTCACTACCGCGACTGCAGCTGTTGGGGGGGGAGTGACATGGAGGGGGTGATCAAACTGCAGCAATTGTCGCCACGCCTCCTCCTCTCTCTCTCTGCCCGTGATCCTGCCCGTGATTCTGCCCGTGATTCTGCCTGTACTGCTGCCCGTGATTGTGCCCGTGATTATACCCGTGTGTTGCCCGTATTTTGCCCGTGTTCTGCCCGTGATCCTGACCGTGATTCTGCCCGTGATTCTGCCTGTGATCCTGCCCGTGTTGCTGCCCGTTCCCGTGCCATACTGACCGTGCACCTCCTGTGCTCCCGTGATCATGTGCTACTCATGCTTCTTGTGCTTCTCGTGCTGCCCCGTGGTCCTGTGCTGTCCCGTATTGCCCGTACTTCCCCGTGCTTGCCCCGTGCCCGTGCCCGTGCTGTCTGCCCGTGTTCCCTGTGCTTCTGCTCGTGCTCTACCTGTGCTGTTTGTTCCCGTGCGTGCCCCACCTGTACCACCCGTGCTGTCAGTGCCCGTGCTGCCCCGTTCTGCCCGTGCTACCTCGTGCTCCTGTGCTGCCCCCGTGTTCCCGTGCTGCCCCCGTGTTCCCATGCTGCCCCCGTGCTGCCCCCGTGCTCCCGTGCTGCCCCCGTGCTCCCGTGCTGCCCCGCTCTCCCCGTGCTGCCCCGTTCAGCCCTTGTGCTGCCCCGTTCTGCCTGTGCTGCCCCGTTGTCCCCGTGTTGCCCCGTTCTGCCCGTGTTGCCCCGTTCAGCCCATGTCCTGCCCCGTTCAGGCCGTGTCCTGCCCCGTTCTGCCCGTGTTGCCTCGTTCAGCCCGTGTCCTGCCCCGTTCTGCCCGTGTTGGCCTGTTCTGCCCGTGCTGCCCCGTTCAGCCCGTTTGTGTCCTACCCGTGCTATCTGTACCCGTTGGTGCCCCACCCGTGCTGTCAGTTCTCGCTCGTGCCCCACCCAGTCTGTGCTGCCCGGTCTCGTGCTGCCTGTCACCCCCGTGCGGCCCGTCCCGTACAGCACCTAGTTGCTACCCGAACCCGCTACTCGTACCCGTGCTCCTCGCACACCGTGCACCAGCTGCGGGGCGTTCAACCGCAGCCGGGCACCTGTTCCACCGCGGTGGTTCAGATGCTGCTTGGTGGTTGCTGCTTGTCAGCTTCAGAGGGGGCCCCTTGCTGGTGTTCCCACGCCCTGTAATGGGGTTTTACAGGTGTACCCCTTCAAGGGGGGCTCTGCACATGGTTATGCACTTCAGCCAGATAGGGGGTGTGTCACAATAGATTTATATCTATTTAGTATAATCTGCCTGTAGTGTAGCTGTTGTGTAATTCCCGTGTATGGTGGTGCACCTCTTTCATCTTTGTTAGGTTGCTATATGTACTCGTGTGCTATAGTGAACCTCCAACCATTTTCAATTCTCCTTGGCACAAACTACTCGACACCCGTTTGGCCTAGGCTACTAAGCCTAGGCCCTTAGTTAAACCCGTACTCTAGTTAAGATCGTATCGTAACACACGCTGCTGCAACTCTCAAGCCAGGAAGTAACGCAGAGCGATGTGCTTCGTTCTATGCTCCAGGCTGTGCTCTTGACACAAGGCAATGGCTGCCTTGTTGTCGACGTATAGAACTGGAGGAGAACGAGGCCTCTCTCCCAAGTCGGTCAGCAGGTAGGTGAGCCAGCGTAACTCCTGTGCAGCCATGGCTGTGGCGTAGATCTCAGCCTCACAACTGGAGCCGAGAACAGAAGACAAGCGAGTAGACCGCCAAGAAACAGAGCCAGAGCCAAGACTGAAGGTGTAACCCTGTGACGACCGATGCGTAGCTTGGTCGTCAACCCAAGAAGCGTCCGAGTGACCAGTGAGGACAGCGTCGCCCCGTCCTCCAAGCACGAGCCCCATGCCTGATGTACTGCACAAGTAGCGCAGTACCCTCTTAGCAGCATCCATGTGCACCTTTCGGTGCCGACCAGGAGCCACGTAGCGAGCCAGAAGGCCAAGAGGGTACGCAAGGTCAGGACGAGTGCAGGTCATCAGGTACATGAGGCAGCCCACTAGCTCTGGGTAAGGACCACTCGACTCTATGGACTCGTCCGAAGGTGGAGCTGAGAGCGAGTGACCTGTAGCCAGAGGAGTGGCCTGTGCCGAGGACCAGGTGAAGCCGAAGCGCTGAAGGACCTGCTGCACCATGTGTGACTGAGTCAGTGTGATGGTGTGGCGTGCTCTGTCCCGGGTGATCTGCAAGCCAAGGTAACTGCGCAGCTCACCCAGGTCTGTGCACGTGTGTCTCTTCTGCAGCTCCGACTTCACCAGGGCAAGAGCCTCAGTGTCAGCAGTGGCAAAGACCAAGTCGTCAACGTACACGAGGATGTAGAACGGCGGCAGCGAAGTGTTGGTGCACAGAAACAGCGACGGCTCAGCAGTCGAAGGAGCAAACCCAAGAGCCGCAAGTGTCGTCCTCAGTGTATCGTGCCACTCACGTGGCGCCTGGCGGAGACCGTAGACCGGCCGCCGGAGGCTCCACTGGGTACCAGGAGGGAACGACCCAGTAAAGCCAGGCGGGCGGCGCAGCCAAATCTCCTCGTGCAGGCTGCCCTGTAAGAAATTTGTGCTGAAGTCAAGAGAGTGAAGCTCGTAGTCACACTGAGCTGCAACGTGCAGCAGCACCCGAAGAGTGGTCATCTTCGGGGTGGGGGAGAAGGTCTGGAAGAAGTCAACTCCCTCTCACTAACTGAAGCCTCGAGCAACGTAACGAGCCTTGAAGACAGGCGGAGAACCTGGCGGCCGCTTCACCCTGAAAATCCACATGCCGTCGACGATGTTCGCCCCGGGAGGGGGAACCTCATCGACGTAGGTGCCTGTAGACTTCCAGGATGCCATCTCTGCGTCCATGGCTGTCTGCCACTAAGAAGAGTACTTACCCGCGATCGCCTCAGAGTAAGAGCGCGGGGTCGGGATGTCTGGTGCATCCGGATCTCCCTCAGGGGCAAGTAGCATGGCCACGAGATGAGGCGCAGCGTCCGCAAGACACTCAAGGTCCTCGTGCCTGTCCTCAAGGACGTCCGTGCTAAGAGCATACTCACCCCCGACGGATGGAGGACAGACAGACTCAGACTCAGCATTAAGACTAGCAGCGTAGTCTAGACGACAGGCAGCAGCAAAGTCGACAAGCTCAGCGACTAGGGCAGACGCAGCAGTGGACTCAAACGACGGGTCAGTGACCACAGTGGCTAACAGACGCGTGACATTAGGGTGCTCAGTACAAAACTGGTCAGACTCAGGGTCCGCAACGCCAGGCAGAGAGGACGCAGGGGGAGAAGGCAGAAGAACACGCCGCGGAGGAGAGGAAGGACGACGGACTACAAGGTGGGTGCCGGGGACATGACGACCGGATCGACCAGAACGGACAGGCGAGACAGGACGCGACGCAGGCTCACAACGCTCAGCAAGGCTCCCTTTCTGCTCAGTGTAAGGAGAAGGAGCAGGCAGCGGCGAGCCAGGCTGTAATGGAAGACCAATAGACAAAGGGAGACTGAGAACCTGGCGAAGCTCAGAGTCAGGCGGTGGCTGAGACGACGGAGACGGCGGAGCGAAGAACAGGTGCGGCTGTGCAGTGCCACCAGCACCAGCAGCTCCAGCACCTCCAGCAGCTCCAGTACCCTCAGCAGCTCCTGCACCTCCAGCAGCCCCAGTACCCTCAGCAGCTCCAGCACCTCTAGACGCTCCAGAACCCTCAGCGGGAGCTCCTCGAGGACCAGCTCCACTAGCTGCAGCACTCCCAGAACCGGCACCTCCCGGCCCAGGGTCTCCAGCCTCAGTGCCTCCAGCAGCAGCACCCCCAGACCCAGGGTCTCCAGCAGTAGCACCCTCAAACACAGTACCTCCAGCCCCAGCAGCTCCAGTACCTCCAGTACGAGCACCTCTGGGACCAGCGACTCCAGCACCTCCAGTAGACAAAGGACCTTTACCACTCCCAGCTCCAGTGACGTCAGCAGAAGTATCTCCAGCAGCAGAGCCCTGAGCTCCAGAAGGGCGAACCTGACGGCGATCGTACCAGTCATGCAGCTGCTGTGAGGTGAGAGGCACACGCGGACAAAGGCGGCTACTCCAAGGAGACCGCGCAGCAGGAGACTCAGAACCCTCAGGCGTCGCACCCCCAGACTCAGTACCCCCAGGCTCTTCACGCCCGGGCTCAGCACCTCCAGACACAGCACCCCCAGGCTCAGGACCTCCAGGCTCCTCACGTGCACACTCAGCACCTCCTGGCTCCTCACGCTCAGGCTCAGCGCCCCCAGACTCCGCACCCCCCGGCTCAGTACCTCCTGGGTCCTCACGCGCAGGCTCCGCACCCCCAGGCTCAACACCCCCAAGCTCCGCACCCCCAGAATCAGCACCCCCAAGCTCCGCACCCCCATGCCCAGCACCCCCAAAGACAGCACCACCCCCAGCAGGACCTGAGTCACAAGTGACCTCAACAGGCGCAGAAACGGGAGGGTCTACTTGAGAAACACCTTAAGGAGCAAGACCTGGCGCGGGGAGGGGGTCTACCTGGGGAGGACCTGGGGCGAGAAAGAGCAGCGGGGGGGGGCGAGGGGCAGTGCGGTAGAGTAAGTGACGGTAAAAGGGGACGGAATCGTCAAAGGTGACGTCCTGAGACGGAAAGATACGGCGCGAGGCGGGGTCGTAAAACTGCCAGCCAGGCGCGTCAGGGACAAAGCCAAGGAAGACGCAGGGAATGGCGCGAGCAGAGAGCTTGTCCGCGGTGATATCGCGGACAAAGGCACGAGCATCCCAGACCCGGAAACGCGACGCATCGCCAACCTTCCCCGTCCACAGCAGTGTGGGCGAGGTCTCCGACAAGGAGACACGGGGCCAGACGTTGAGCTGATGCGCGGCGTACCGGACCGCAAACGGCCACCAAACATGGGGGGCAGCCGCATGGATCATGGAGGTACGAGCGATCTCCATGACTAAGCCAATGCGGCACTCAGCAACCCCATTCTACTGCCGAGAGGCCGGAAGCGTGAACGTCTGGCGGATGCCGTGCTCCGCACAGAAGGCTGCCAAGAGGTCTGAGGAGAACTCACCACCCCTGTCAAAGTGCAGACGCAGGATAGGAAAGTCCGAGTGGAACCGCTCGCGGAGCTGGAGACGAACAGCGCGGATCCAGGGGATCAAAACATCAGGGACCTCCCCCTTGTGCTGCAAGGGGAAGACCGTGGTGTAACGCGTGTAGTCGTCAACGACCAGCAGGAAGTGCCGCTCGTGGCCCTATCCATGGACGCGGGCTGGGCCCCACACGTCCAGGTGGAGAGTCTGCAGTGGAGCCTCTGTGGGAGGGAACGAGGAGGAGTGAGGGGCGGCGCGCTGCCGCCCCTCGACGCAGGGAATGCAGGGCGGCGCAGGCGAGGGAGGGAGGGCAGGCAGAGACCTGGGAAGGCTAGAGACCAGGAAGCGAGAGTGCATGCTACGAAGGCGAGGCAGGGAGGGGTGACCAAGGTGGTGGTGCCACAGGAGAGTGTCGTGCGACAAGCGGCGACACTCACACTGGGTAGCTACCTGAGCAGACGCGTACAGCTGGGGAGACAAAGGAACGTAGCGCGACGTAGTGGTGAGGGTGTACAGACTGGACCTAGGCGCACGCGTGAACGTGGCCAGGTGACGGCCGGTCCGGGAGCACGTGCAGATCGCCACACGCTGTCCTCCAGGAGTAAAGGTGTCAACCCAATGATCCTGAAGGACGGCGTTGCTCACCAAGTTCGTAGAGAACGAGGGGAGGTGGAGACCAGACAGCTCACCAGACGGGACCGCCGGACACGGAAGCACAGTGGAAGACCGTGCAAGCACTGGGCCCCCAGAGGGGTCAGCCAGTGAGACAGGGACAAGTGCAGGGAGGGGAGTGACTGTGGTGCTGTCGCGAAATAAACAGCGAGAAGCACCAGAGTCAAGTGTAAAGGTGTGCAAGGCCTGTGCGGACTCAGTACCGGGGAGAGCAGACTCACAAGCACCTAGAGCTGCAGGGGCTATACCTAGGGCTATACCGGGGTCAGGCGGCACACACAAGTAGCAGTCACCCTCAGCACTAACAGTCAATGCATACATGGCAGCAAGTATAGCATCATAGTCAAGATCAAAAATAGGTACATCACGCCTAAGCAGGTCTGCCCAGTTGGGAAACTCAGTAGCATCAGGAAACTTGAC